TGGTCTAACATTGAACAAGGCACTACCATAAAGGATGATTTTTCTAAATTTATTTATTTTTTGCTTTTTGTCAGGTATAAAATATAAAATCATTTAGTATTAATATTTTTCATGTAATTTTATATTAGCCCATTAATGCCTATCATCCCATTCTTGGGACAGTGGGTATTAATGAATTATTGTTAGAAATGTTTAATTAATACCAGATTTTACAATGGGGATTAATAGGTTAAGATAAATTCAGGTTAGGAGATAATTCTAACTGTATGTTCTAACCAAAGATGCATGTAAATTTGTTTCAGATCTGTTAATTGTGTTGGCAATAATATTTGTTCATTTGCTTGTCCTGATTTTGTTTCTTGTCTTCTTGATTATCATTTCATTTATTCATCATATTTTCTCAAAATCTTCCTCCTCATAATCCTGCTCTTTTATCACAAACTACACAAAAAAGTCTATGCTTCAAATCTTTATATAAAGTTTCTATTCAATCCACTTTATGAATAAATATAAAGAAAGAGCATAAGATTTTCACAACTCTCTCAAACCTCATCACAAAAACATTGATTTACTCTCAAAAATGTGATAGCAGTTATGACAATACTAGTTTTCACTGGCAGTGTGTACTAAATGAGTGACTATTTGAGACTTTTTTTTTTTTATTAAAAATAAAAAGGGGGTACACAGAGTTATTAAATACAATGTAATTCTTGAAATGTAATTTTTGGTTTCAGTTCATTGTATTTTAAACAAATCTAAATATCTATGTAGATTTAGAATTGTCCTTTTCCAAGGAATCTAAGACGTTAGGGAAAATCAGCAAGACTTTGTATTGCACACTGTATGCAAGAATTTTGTATCTTGTAAAACGGAGAAACAACAAATCAGAATGTAGACAAAAAAATTCTACTCATCACAAAAAGGATGATTTAGCTTATTACATAAGATTAGAGTAGAAGATTGCCACCATTGAATAGAGAGAGAAAAAATACATGAAGATATTTTTCAACATACTGCTCAGTTTTAGCTTTGTAGAAAATTGATAAAAACTTTTACTCAACTATAGACTAATTAATTGCAAATGATTATAACAAGACAATGCAGTAAGATTTATTAAATGTTTTATTTAAAGAGTTACAATCATGTTGAGTTTATTTACAGTTAAGGATTTGTTGGTTGTTTCCTCAGTCAACTTTTATGGCTTTTCCAAAAAGGATTTCTCAAATATTCCCTCAATTAAACTTTCTGGTCACTTTCTGAAAAAAAATGTTATTCAACTTTCCTGGTCTTTTACTGAAAAGGAGATATTATTAATTATTTTTTTTTTTTTTTTAATCATCTCCCCAATCAAGGCAATAAAGTCACTAGGATACAAGAGGTAACTGAGAGTGAAAGAAACAGGACACAAAAAGAACAGAATTCACTGAAACATTTACCCAACTGATAATTACTAAACTGTAGAAATCTTAAAATCTCAATGTTTTTTAAGCTTCTGACCAAAAACTAAAAAAAAAAAAATCAATGGAATTGCAATCAACAATCATTAAAATCTTAGTTTTTTATTGTGCTTTTTTTAATTCCAGGTACTTTAAAAGCTACAGGGGGCCGACTATTTTTCAGATACTTTATTTTTTCAAGTTTTAGGTAGCACAGGCAGTTTGTACTGTTTTAGTGTAATGGCAATAACATTTAAAAACTGTTTCAATACTACAAATGGAAAAGCAGAATTCAAATTAGAAGTATTTTTATTTTTTACAAATGGACAAATTTTCACATTACACAGGCGACAGTATTTTTTCGGACATTGCAGAAACAATGCTAATAGTTTATGGCAGCACCCTTTTTTTCAATGACTTCTATCATTCTATCTTCATAATGTTCGTACATATTGATAATAACGTCTCTTCGTGTTTCTAGCAGTCTATTTTTAGCATCTTGTATGTGCTGCCACAGTTCAGCCTCTCTGGTTATTTCTGGCCCGTCGTAAACAAGCTCTGCAAGCATTTCCCATATGTTTTCAATTAAATTTAAGTCTGGACTTCTTGCAGGCCATTCCAGAGTAGTTATATTTGCTTCACGCATCCAATTTTTCACTGATTTGGCCACATGGATGCTGCAGTTATCTTGCTGCAAAATAAAATTACTTCCCATTTCTTTTTCTATGAGTGGTAGGGCTCTCTTTTCCAAAAGTTCTCTGTAGCTCAAGCTATTTTGACGTCCTTTTAACCACTTGAGCCACAAGTTTCCATTCGGAAATACCATACCCCAAACCATGACTCCTCCTCCTCCTCCAATCTGTCTCTTGTTGAGAATAACAGGTTCACCTTTTCTCGACCATGTACACCACCCATCAGGTCCATCGAACTTAAAACGTTTTTCATCAGTAAATATCACTTTCTTGAAGTCGACATGGTTTGTTATCCATCTTTTGGCGCTTCCCAGCCTTGCCTCCTTGTGTTTTCTCGTTAGTGTAATTCTTTTCTTGATTTTAGCATACTTAAGTCCAATTTCGTGTAGCTTTCTTTGTACAGTTCGAACACTGACGTCAAGTTCACACTTCTCCTTTACTTTCTTCGCTGTCACCTTTTCTCCAGATGATAACAACCTCGTAACACTCCTCTTCATTCTTCTTTCTGTTCTCTTGGAAATTGTTTTTTCCGTCCTCTCTTCTTCTTCTTCCGCTCATAGTCTGTACTTAGCATGTATTCAACTGTTGACTTTGGTAGCTTCATCTCAGCGGCGATCTTTTTGGATACTGAGCCCGTCTTCTCTCTTCTTTTGGACCAAACTGATGACTTCTTTTGAATGCATTCTTCTTCAGGATTTTAATACGTTTTCGCAGTGAATGGTAAAAGATACTCAAATGTAATGGTCAGGGTACAATTTACCTGCAGAAAATTTGCATATTGTAGACGTTCGACGACTAAATCATTAAAAACCCGGAATTTGTGTCATGTCCGAAAATAGTGTCGCCTAAGTTGAAGTAAAAATAAAGAAAACATGAAACCAAAAGACAAACCCATCAATCAATGTTCATACCATTAATGGACAGTTACTGCTGAACTACATCACTCATCAACACAAAAACACCTTCTCAGCAAAAAACACCTTTAATTCACAAATTTTAATCTTTTAAAATGTCCCAAAAATATTACCTCTTATTATCATTATTCTTCAGCTCTGTCTAGCATAGTCTTTGACAGATTCAAAAGTTAACCACCTCAGTCCAGAAAAAATATTAAAATAAATTCATAATTTACTAGAGAATATTTGTCAAATGTGATAAAAAATAAGTCACATTTGTCAGTCCTTTTTATTTGCTTCTTTGTTTCTTTTCATTGTTTTTCATTTTGTTTATTCATACTATATATACACAAACTGTATCATGAGGTTACAGTGTTTTCATTCTCTTCAGCTGACTTAGTGTGAAACTATCTTTTGTTTGTTTTATTTAATATATCAGATTAACAATTAGGATTGTATTCATACATTTTCAATGTCCATCTTTTGTCTTTGTAGTGTTAGGAGTTATAAATATCTCTTGATTTAACTGATGCTTTATTTTCATAAAGTATAGGTATCTCAGAAAAACAGAAATCAAGTGATAAACACAGACAGTTTGCATTCAATACTTTTCCAACTTTGCTTGAATGTGTTATTTATGCATAAATATTTTTATGTTTCTGGTTAATTTCTCAAATAAGTCATTAGAATAAATCTAACCAAGTTGTTATTTTTAAAAACAGGACACGGAAAAAAAACAAAAAAACATGAATATGCTTGGATGCATCAACAAGAATTCCCCAACAAATATAAAAACAACTGGAAATAATGAATCTTATATGTATGGTTAGAATTGTGCAGTATTTCTTTTGAAGCTGCCTGCAAACACATACACACACAGTGCATAAAGAAATTTAAGCTGCACTCATAAAAAGGAATATTAAAAATAATAAATCGATCTGTTATTTAGTGCACACAATTTTATCAATGAGTGTACAATTGAAATACTTTTTGCCCATTACATTCAACACCATCACTTGATAAGACGCCAGAAGTATTGAAACAAAATGGCTATTTTTGTAGTGATTTTAGAACATATTTATGTTATCATTTTCAAATAAATTATATTTGCTCTACTCTGTATTGAGCACTCTTTTAAGAATAGTATTTTTTGGGGAATTTATTCCATATACACCAATCCTATACTTGGAGATATATACACACACACAACCAGTGGCAGCATGTATGCATGTAGTGAAACTCTAATAGACCCATGCCCACTACCGTTTTAAAGTTAAAAATGTGGCAAATCTTCGTGTCATATATTTGATAGGTCTTCCATTGAATCTTTGGAACTGCAGTGATTCAGTTCAAATGTGGCTAAGAAATCCTAACACAACTGATGACACTAGAGTTAAAAAGCTTCATACTTATGAACAGAAATATGATGAGAACAGGATTTCAATCTGGAAATATCTCAATAAATAAATGTTTTCTATTAAATTATCAAAATGGTTTAAATCTATACAGTGATTTGTTCCCATTCTCAAATTGAAAAGAAAATAAGCAGAATAGGTCCCTAAAGATTACCTGCCTTTATAGAATCGGTTTCTGGAAGTTTAGGATACCACCAATGTATACAACCCTATCATTTTAGGCTTATCAAAACACAATTATTTGTTAGTTGCATATAATTAGAGAATCTCTCCTTGAAAACATTGCAACTTTATGATACTCTATATAAAAGAATAAAATAATTTGGATAAACAAACTTTTCAGTACTGATTTCAAACATTCCATCTTTCAAAATACCAAACTGAATTATCATATTTTTCAAGTTTCTAAATCCTAATTTTCCTGTGCATGCTTTATTCATATTTTTGTTTAATAGAAGCTTTTGATAATGCAGCAATGTTTGTATTTTCTGCATTATCTGCATCTCATAGGTTTTATTTCTACTATAATTTTGTTATTTCCATTGCATTTCCTTTTTATAGAACAAAGCCTGACAAGGAGCAGCCAAAAAGCTCAAGGTATTTCATCCATTCACAAAGTTTTCCCTTCACTAAAAATGCCTTCTATCATCTCAGATTGATTTTTTTTTATTGTAAACAATGATTTAATGGTTAACAAGTTCTTTCAGCCAATCTTCTCTATTATATTTATCTATTTAATGAAAAAAATGGTTCACAAGTGGTCTGTGGCAATAATCTATGAAGTTGCTGGAATCCATTTTCTCTTAACATATTTTATTCTATGGTTATATGAAATTGAGTTTTGCTTTGTGTTTACACAAAGTGAATAGGTTAGAATTAAGAAAAGCTATCTTCCCTATCACTCAAGTATGTTTCTGACTTAATAGAAGAGGACTTTCATGAGGATAATATTTAAACTAAATATAAAGCATTTAAAATTCTATTTATCAAGTTTCTTACTTTAAAAAGCAATAGTAGATATAAATATGTCCTACCTTGAAGTTAGAACTGTTTTTCTTGGAATTTTTTTTCTGAGGAATAAAAGCATCATATTTCTTAAGCCTGTTGCATCATGGGAAATTAATAGTTCTGACTTTCTCTTTTGTACAGACCTCTTTATAATCCTGTGCAATCACATTATATTTAAACTTTAAACTATAAAGATACAATATACAACTGACCTTTTTTTTCCTATCATAGTTTCAAAGCTTTGCCAAATTAATGATGATTTTGGCTTGACCAATCAAGGCCTTATAAATATTAATTTAGAATCTTTGACTCACCATTTCAGTATCTGCTGAATACTCATAATTCTTCTTAATACTTCTGCTTGTTAAAATTACTACCTTTGTAGAATTTCAGTATTTTAACAGAATCATTCAACAATATAGAAATATTGTTTTAAACATTTCTACTTCTTGTGGGATCACTATTAATGTCTGACACCACCCCTGCTATTTATATTTCATTTATAAGATCTTTTCAGGTTTATTTATAAGAAAATAAAATGGATACCATCTATACTTTACATGTCTTAAAATGTGTATATATTATAACATCACTTGATCAAAAATTCATACTCTGAAAAATAATATTGTGTGTAAATACCAAAAAAATGATATTAATTTAAAATGATAAAGTTTAATAAATTTAAAATCTAAATATAATCTTTTGGTTTTATTTCCACCAAATTTATAATTTCCTTTAAATTTTAACATTTAAATATTAATATATTTAATTATAAAATAAAAAAAGTACACTAATATGTACATAATATTCTTATCGTTAACCTTTCATTTAATTTTAGTAATTTTAAAACTTTGAAAAATTAAAAGCTTCAAAAAAAATAAACATCAAAATACTTTTAAAAATTTTGTTTTGTAATATGATAATGTTATAACACAATTTTTTTTTATTTTTTTTTTTTTGCTTGTGATAGAAATGATTCTTATAAAAATAATCCAACCTGTTCTACATTTTGATCAATTTAATTTTCTTTTCTTTAACAATTTGTGTGTTGTGATTTTAAGGCTTGTAGTTTTAGTTGAGTGATGCACTAGTTTTACATTTTACTTACTTCATTATATTTTTTAATTATAAAAAAAAAAAAAAGTTGAAATTAATGATAAATAGTTATAAGGCAATAGGTGGCAGATAAACACTACATCTTTATATCCTCATATATACATGAATATCTGCATTCACATATGACTATTTGAGATGTTGTTTTTTGCCACCTAATTTAGAAAAAAGCAAAGCTGGAGGACACCCACAAAATCTTTTTTCCTCTCTTGCAAAAAATTGTTGTAGAACATTTTTTTTTATTTCAACTACTTTAGTCATTTCGCTTTCTATTGTTTGGAAAAACCTGAACTGATTAATTATTTTGTCGAATTTAGTTTGTTAAATTTGAAAATTTATTACAAGTTATTTTTCTGATTAGGGCAATTTTGTGTAGTTTAATTCAATAAAGAGTTGAAAGAATTCATTTCTGATAGGTATTTTTACCTACAAAATTATTTTAAATGCCTTAATTTTAAAAATTTAAAGAAGAAGTCAAAAAACAGAAATTCAGCTACTTCCATCTTTTATATATATATATATATATATATATATATATAATTTTTTTTTTTTTTTTTTTTTTTTTTTTTTGAATTTTATAGGAGTGATTATTTAATGGAAAATTTAATGTTTATTTTAAGCTTGATAATTCATGCTAAAGGAAGTAAGTAGTTGTCACCCTCCAAGAAGAGAATGATTTTCTCACTTTATGATGAACATCAGGACCATCAGGAAGAAACTGAAATAAATAAATTTTATATGGCTTCTGGTATCAAGAAGCAAACAAACCCTTTGTCAAATAATTTTACTTTCATGAAGGAAAAATGTCTGTAGACATGCTATCAGGCAGTTTCTTAAATAACTTTGCATTTTCATTAGTTTTTACGAGAAAGCTGCAACTGTCAAAGAACGTTTCTGATAGAAGTTTTTTTTTTTTTTTGCAAGGATTCTCATTTCTTGCAGAATGCTGTCTTTCCCTGCTTCTAGATGATCATCAGAGATGTTTTGGATTTATTACCTGAACAGTTTTGAAAAGGCTATCCCATAAATTGAACAAATAAGTTTGTAAATGGTGGCAGCAGCAGCACAATGCTGTAGAGCTATTTCACCTGTCAAATTGTTAGATCACAGATTCTTTACAATGAAAGTGTTAGTGTTTGGAAGAAATATGAAAGAACCATTTTGTTCCTTACATTCCAATTTGGTAATATATACCAATGGTATAATGCTAAATCAATCAAAAGTTTTTCTAAGATTATGAAATTCAGGCTTTGTTTTGCTCTAAGTAGTCTCTGGACCTCAATCCTATAGAGGATTTATGAGAAATAATTAGAATAGACAATCTTATATTTTAATTAATTTCCACACTTAGAATAAATTAAAATATAAGATTGCTCGTTCTAACCATTCAATTTTTCTTTGTCTGGGTTAACAATCTATAAAGTGGAAAAAAAAAATTTCTCTTTTTTTTTTTCATGTCAAAATATCTGATGCTTTAATGTCACTAAATGCAAGAAAATGTTTTATTTTTCACTTATATAGTTTGTAAAATTATCATGTTTGAGATTTATGTATAATATATGAAGAACACTAGACAACAATAATCATTCAAGTGAATGGTGAGAAAATTAATTTGCTACTATTGCTTTGGAAAGTAATTACAAAAAAAGATCATTTATGTACTCATTCAATTGCTTGCTTTCCTTTCTACTGTTGTAACATGATAATAAGAAGATTCTGATTAAGAGAATTGGTAATGGGACAAAGTGCAAATACAATTTAAGCATCTAAGTGAAATTGATGAAAAAAAGAAAGCAATTTTGATTTATATAACCAGAATTGGTGTTATATTACTCATGAAACATACATACTACCAAACACTAAATTGAACTCTGTTTTTTACTTGTTGGATTCATTTTGTACAAAAGGGTACTGAAAAGCTATTAGCCTAGTCAAGAAACCCTTTCAAAAAATAAGAATCTGATGTTTAGTGATTTGATTTTTTTTTTTTTTTTTTGTATATCCAACCCTGGACTTTGGCAATCCTCATATATCACCATTTTTTTAAATTGGCTTCCCAACTTTATTTATTTATTATAGACCTTTCATGCTTAGAGAAGGGGAAAATGAACTTAATAATTCAAAATAGCCTTGAAATAGTGTTAGGTTTTTTACTCACTCATTGATTGATTTCATGCACAGGTCCTCATAGATTAAATAGAACTTAAGGACTTTTTATTCTGTCTGCCAGATCACAATTGCCATATTTCCAAATCATCAGAATTAATCTCACATTGCAATGACTTTTCTCTTGATTAATGCCTGCTTTTCTCTGGCAAATCATTTTCTGCTTCCTCATCATCTCATTTGTATTTAACAAGATTTTTCTCTTTTCATTTGTTTTCCTGGTTAAATTTTTCATACTTTCTCATCTTTAAAGCCTACTAATCAGCAAGCATCAAATACCTTCTGCTTTTCTTTGTCATATTTTCATGATTTTTTTTTAAATGTTCTCTTTTTGCAGGATATTGAACATCCTCAAAGCAAATGTTTTATATAAAGAGAATGTGCATGCAATTCATATATCTCTCTCACACACACACACACACACACACACACACACACACACACACACACTTGATATGATCTGATAAGTGCTTAAGGTGCAAAACTGCCAGTCACCATGCAGTATCGATTTCTGTTCATACTGATATATATATATACATACATATACATACACACACACAGATATACTGAACTGTGAAAAAAAAAAAATTAGAAACATCTATCTGATGTGTAGCTCTTCTTTTAACCTGAATAACAGTGTCTATATGACATGTTATGGAGTCCGTGAGGTGCTAGGCACATTTCTGGGTGGCTCATAAGTGAGCTGTGTTTGTTGAGTGTAGTTATATGGAATTTAGTGAAATCTGTAATGTGTCCTACATATGTTCAGTGGAGTTTAAATCTGTTGAGTATGGTGACAAGTAGGATAGCTGAAAGTCAGCTAAGTGCTCCTGGAACCAGTTTTATGCTTGCCCCACATATAGTGAGTGTGATACATTATTTTACTGGAACAAACTATCACCACCAGGAAGTATGGCAAGAATAAAGAGGTGCAAATAGTCTGCAATGTGTATGTCACACTTGTCATGACAGATTCCAGCCACAGAAGTTACTCTTCTAAACTCCAACAGAACTCATTATGGAGCCAACATGAGCTTACACAGGACTGCTGACAAGCTGAATGTATAGTCTTGTGTATTTTCCACTGCACACAAATTTGATTGTCTGCTCTAAAGAGCTGGAATCATGACTACTCTAACTTGGTCCTGTTAACTGGCCAAAATTCAGTGCACTACCCTTGGTGTTCATAACAGCAGCCTTGTTGGTTGACAACTATGAATCCCCCACCCACCCAAGGAAATGCAGAATCTACACTTTTCATTAAACATAAATTGGGATGTGATTTGATACAATGTCCATCCTTGTTAGTTGGTTACTACCCTTCCCACTTATTGGCTATTCCATTTATATGTTGTTTGTTTGCACCCATAGTTACAATTTTTTGGTAGATTCTTGCTAGTGTTACCAGAGAAAAGCCTAAAGCAATTTCCACTTTGGAAACTGTACACTATCTTTCTGCTTCCAGCAATTATTCTGCAGTCAAACAATTTAAAATCCTGTACCATTGTTGTCCCAGCTACACTTGCCTTTTGCATTATACATGTAATCCATTTCTGGGGTGGGGGCGAATGAAACCATCGATTATACTGCTATCTCTAATTTTTTGGCATTTCAGTTTATATATGTGCATACATGTCTCTTTGTGCATGTTCATACTTATGTCTGGATTATATAAATGTGTGTATGTGTTGTATAGCTTTGTTTCTTTGTGCATATATATAATTTTTTTTTAAATAAGTGTATAGATGTGAATATGTGTATGTATGTGTTAAAGTATGTTTCATGTATTTCTGTGTGTCTGTATAATTTTGTTCTATCTAAATGTGTGTGAAAAAGAGGTATATTTTTTATTTACTGCCAAATATTAATTTACTTTCTTTTTTAAACTGTGTTTGACTTGTTCCCAGTTTTGTATCATTCCTTATTGCAAATATACTGTACTTATTTCTGGCTTAACCTGTTAAACTAAATGGTGTTTAAAAATTATCTTACCTTTACTTGGTTGCTTTACAATTTTGATCAGAGAGATTGCTTACCTTCACCCCTCTCTCTCTCAAATGAATTTATTATTTTTTAAGTTGGCTACAGTAGAGATAAGAAACAAGCAATAAACAATTACTGATGGACACACCTTAGCAACTATCCAATAAAATATCTCTTAATCAGGTATTGGTCTGGATAGTATGGCTGGAGTTTTATCATTGCAACTTGTTATTTTACATTTGTTGCATTTATGTTGTTGCCAACTGAATTAGATTCTTCTCAGGAAAGAATAGACTTTATATTCAGAAAGTTTTTCAATAAGATCAAAAACTATTTTGCCTATTCAAAATCTAAACAACAACAGATTTATTTTCTGAATTTTTTTTCTCTTTCTTTAAACATTTTATTTCAATCTTTCATGAAGTTTGAGTTAAATACTCTCCATTCTAAGAGACTATTTGTACACACACCTACATATCTTAATAGATAGGAAATTACAGATTATTACTTAGTAATTTGACTCCCCACTGGAGCCTCCATACTTGTGGCTTTGTCAAAATAAGGTAAGCTTTTATGTGTGTATATATATATACACACACACACACACATATATATATATATATAAGCTTATCAGGTTGAATTTTATATATATATATATATATATATATATATATATAATTCACCCTGATGAATCATAGTCTCCAAATATTAATGTTTCTTGTTACAGCTATACTTGGTTGCTAAGTTTCATCAGTCATGTAGAAATTTAAAACCTACCATCAAAGACTTTAGATGACAGGAAAAACACAAATTTGAAAACATTATTTCAGAAGTATTAACTTTCTATTAAAAATTATTTGAAGTTTAGCAAAGAACAAAATGTCTCCATTAAATTCTGTACCTGTGAGAATAAATACAAAAAAAGCACATTTTGCATGCATATATGCAAAAACAAATGTATTGTAGTCTGGATACATCTGGATTAATATTCTGTGAATATTGATTTTAGTTTTTACTTATTTGATATTGTTTTATCCAAAACTAAAAAAAAACTGAAGTTATAAACATCAAAAGAAAACATTTCACAATAGGTTTATTTTTTATATATATATATGAACACACACACACACACACACACACTAGCTAAAAATTCAATTTTTCTTTTTATACTAATACCTGGTATCCACCCTTTTCTTCAAAGTAATGTCCTCGTGAGCCATAACCCTGCCTCAGAAAGTTTAATAATAAAAGATTATAAAATTGTTTGCACTTGCTGTTGAAATTCTCTAAGACTTTGATTATTTTTTTTTTGTGTAAAATTTATCTCATATATATATATATATATATATATATATATATATATATATATATATATGCGCTCATGAGTGTGTACGTGTGCACATTTAGATATGTAAATCAATGCTATTTTTCAGCAAGTGTAAATAATATACAAACTTGCAGTTTATTTCAGTTTTTCATATTTTAGTGCAAACATGTAACCAAATTTGTCATTTATAACAGTGCAGATATATAGGTATATCAATATGCCCATCTCCAAATTATGGGGATGAAAGTATTTCTACAATAAATACTTATTTCTCAGCATCATCTTTCTTGTCAAAGCACATAATTCAGTAGTAAATATTCATCACATAAATCAAACCTTGTACAGTGAAAATATCTGATCAGTATTTTAGCTAATAACTTCATATCAGGCTATAGGCTTATTGATCCACCCTCATATGAGGAGTCTTTCTTTTTTTCTTTTCTTTTTTTTTCTTTTCTTTTTTTTTCTTTTTCTTTTTTTTTCTTTTCTTTTTTTTTCTTTTCTTTTTTTTTCTTTTCTTTTTTTTTTTTTCTTTTCTTTTTTTTTCTTTTCTTTTTCTTTTCTTTTTCTTTTCTTTTTCTTTTTTTCCTTTTTCTTTCCTTTTTTTACCTTTTTTTTTTCTTTTCTTTTTTTTTTTCTTCTGATAAATCAATTCACCCCAAGCAAAGTGATAATGCCACTAAGATGCAAAGGGGTGTGAGAGGATTTAGGAATGAGAAAACTTTAGAAGGAACTGGAGACCCAATCCTAAACAGGAAACAAGGGATGAACCTTTATTCTTGTTCAAAAGACCAAGAAGGAATATGAACTGGATACTAGGTGAAGCTATTGAGGAATGAAAATTTCAAAGTTTAGGTGGAAATGTTAACAGTATAGAGTTGAAGTAAATTTTAGAAGAAACCTGAAACCTAATCCTAAACAGGAAAAAAAAAAAAAAAAAGGGATAAACGTTTACTGCTGTTCAAGCCTATCTACTCCTCTCATAAATTTACAATTTATTATGAATTTTTGATCAAGTGAAGTTAAATGTTGTACACTCATTTCAAATTTGATGATATATTTAGGATTATGTTGAGTGCTTAACTTAAAATATCCGATGTCCATTTTAATATTTTTATATTGATATTTACATATGCTCTATCTCTGATATTGAGCACTTTATCCCATAAATATTGCACACCATAAAACTTATATATATATATATATATATACACACACACACACACACACACACACACACACACACACACACACATTCTCTCTCTCTCATTCATTTATTAATTTAATGGGAATTGTCTTGAGAAATTTCTTTTTTGCTGGAATAATAAAAGAATTTCACTTGAGTCAAATAAATAAAACTTGGAACCTGAAGATGAAATGGAAGATAATTACTATCAAATATGTTCTGCTTTTTTTTTTGGGGCTTTTTTTTCTTGTGCATAAATGCCTTGAAAAGAAATAGCATAGTTTTAGTTTAATTTCATTGAAAAATCTGGCTTTGCTTGAATTATTTGGGGCGTGTTCTTTTGGTCCATGGTCATGACTTGGTTCTGTTTTCCCTAAATTTGATTTTTTTTTTTTTTTTTTTGCTCTTGCAGTGAAAAAGGCTTCAATTTATCCAACATCAATGTGGACTCCTTGCAGAAGAAGGTGCGACTTCTGGAAGATGACAATTTGCAACTGCGTCTTGAGGTAAGAACAGATTCAGTAGTTAATCTTGCTTTCTTCTGGCTGCAGCTCTAATTTACTAAATATAGAATATCTCCAATAAAGACTTGTTAGGAGCTTTGTTGATAGTTTTCTTGCTCCAAATCAACCATGCTACATTGCTCCAGTCAGCATTTGATAACCTATTAAAAGTATTTTTGTTGCCCACTCCAAATGATTCATCAATTAGAAACCAAGAGAAAGTCATGTGCATTAAGTACTGTGTATTTATACCAAGTCTTGTTTTTAATCCTGAATAACACTGAATACAATCTGTTATAGACACACCATCATCTATCATTGTCTGCTTGAAATACATTACTTTTTTAATTTTATACAACATTTAATCTACCTTACTGATCTCCAATTTGGACAACTTTTTCTTTTTTTTTCTTTTTTTTTTTTTCTAAGTGTTTCACCCCAAGCAAGGCTAGAAGCCACTAGGACACAAGGGGTTACAGAAAATTTGGAGCAAGATCAGATAGGAGTGATAAAAGAAAGGATGAGGAGAAGGGTAGTGGATAGATCAAGGCAACTGGAGATGTCAATTGACATTACATTTGAATAGCTGGAGATTATAGCTCTCAGGGAAACTGGAATAGGGAAGGGAGATCCACAGGCGAGAGGTGCGAGACATGAAGCTATTGGAGTAGAAGAGACGGCTACATTTAGGAGTTTTGACAGTGAAAGGGTGAGACTTAGAAACAGGATATTTTTTTTTAAATAACCTACATTTTTATTGGCCAAAGATTTATACTACTTGTGTATATATTTATTTTCTATTTATCTTTTCATCATGAAAATAGATGTACTTGATGTTTTATTATTTTTTTCTTTCGCATCCATCGTGACATGCCAGTAATGAGACACATTTTGTCACTATATCTGACAATGAGGATACCTTCCTTTCTCAAAAGCAAAGTACTTAAGTGAATACAAGGAGACTCAGCTGAAATCCAAACTAATTTTGACACTTCTGTTTTCAGTCACCCATTAAATTACTAAATTCTACCAATGATTCTCAGTTACCATCAGTTTACAATCATGGACACTGGCTTTACTTGTCTCATTTTATATCTAGGGTTTGCATTAATTAGTGTGATCTTTTAATAATTCAAAATGAAATGAAATTTAAAAAAGATGAAGAATGGAATAATACATAGAAATAACAGAATAATAAAATATAATTAGTAGAAATGTTTGTATGAATAAGAAATATCAGTGACTAAAATGTAACAGAGAAATGTTATCTATTTTATTTCATATTAAGCAAGGCAATAAAGCAACTAAGACACAAGAGGTTATTGAGAGTAAAGGAAACTGAAAAACTTTGAAGTAAGAGAATAATAAAAGAACAAAATACAAGGAGATAGAAGACAGCAGTTGATGTCATATTTAAATTTTTGAAAATTATTGTTGACACAAAAGCAAGAAGCTTGAATAGTTCCACAAGTGAGAAGTATAAGAGAAGAAACTATTAACATAGAACTTTAGGTTACATCAAGCAATTTTAACAATAAAATGCTGAGACTTTACTGCTAATTTAGTAATGCACTTAAATTCATGAAGTTTAATTGTCAAAGAGGAAAGCTCATCAGAACGATTGTCATGAAAATATTTATAAAAAAGATGCAGGGAAGCTATAGCAGTGGGGAAAGTGATTGAAGCTGAGATATCATGTCAGGACGGATAACATTGCAGATTCTCCTTTGGATTTTATCGAAAATCTCTAGATACATAGCAAAAGCATTAGGCCTGGTGTGGCAGCAGTATTCAATACATTGACAAAGAATAGACTTATAAACATGCAAGATAGAGAATTTTTCTTGACAGTCTAACATGACACAAAGAACTAATTTTCCTAGCAGCAGACCTAGAAACTGATTTGATATAATTGCCCCAATTCATGTCAGTGGAAAACATTAGACCAAGAAGGCACAATGAGTTATTCTCTTGAAGGCTAGCATCATCCATGCTGATGGGAGGCCAAAAAAAGGTTCTCTAAGATGACTAATACCTTCACAGTAAGTTATTAATATTAAGATTTTACAACAGTCAGTTTTCAGTTTGTGCCTGACTATTGCCACATGCATGAAACTTGAAGTTTTCACAATCAGGAATCCCATAATCCCTTAGGGTCACCACTTGTACTGTCCAAGACACAATGGTGTGTCTTGGGCAAAAACAGCCTGACAGAGCCCAACTCCCTTCAGGCTGGTTTGAATTCAGTTTTCCTTTTAGACTGGTAGCCAAGGCTATAGGACTCAATCTCTCCTGCAATTTACCCATAGCTGGTGGGAAGGGATGGATTCATATCTTTCCCAAGGGCATTAGTATATAAAGAATAAATGTATATTTATTATTAATGTGTGTGTAACATATATAATGTGTGTGTGTGTGTGTGTGAGAGAGAGTATATACAATAATGTTGGTAATAATTTATACAGTCTTCAAGTGAAGTCAAAGAATAAAAGTGAACTCTAGCCAAAAACAAACAATAATTTGAGTGAATCTATATTTGTTTACTACAAATAATGTTTTTTATTAAATTTTTCATGTATTTCATTCAGTCCTAATAAAGTTGTTTCAATCACTCATGTACTGTTATTTGCATGAATAACTAGTCCCTATAATTTTCTAAAGATAAATGATTTTCCAATGATAGGAAATTTTTAAAATGCTTTGAATGCTTTTGATTTTCAGACCTCACAACTTGCTTCCGTCACTGAAGATTATGAGGAGAAAGAAGAGAAGTTGGTGCAAGATTGCCTCAAACAACTGTGTAAGTTTTATTATTTTGACATGATTAAATCCAAAAAATATCAAATACAAAGAACATTAAACATTCAGACCATATGAAAAATTTAATTCATTTGAAAAGTTGCCAACAATTCTCATTATTTTTAACTTTTATTTGTTCTAATTGGCATTGAATATAACAATCAGTTGCTAATATTGCTCAGCTAAATTATTACAAAGGTAGTAAAATTCTTACATATTGTACCACACTCCTGTTGTTGCATATCAGTGAAAAAATAACAGGTGACAAAGTGACATTTACAGATAATTCCCCATGTATAATACACATTTTTTCTAAAATAATAATAAGCAAAATCAGGGGTGCATATTATGCACAGCTACAGAAAATCTTTTAAAAATTGCTGTAAAATAAAATAAAAATTATCATAAAACTAAATTAGAATATTATTCTATTTAAAAACCTTTTTTAATAAGTGTAGGAAACGCTGGCTGTAATGAAATTGTAAAGGTAAAATTTATAGGGTTTGATTACCAAACAAGGGGTGCATGTTATGCATGAGTAGAAGCATTTTTCCTACACTTTCAGCACAATTTTAGGTGAGCATATTATGGATGAAGGCATATTATACATGGGGAATTACGGTATCTCTTTTTAAAGGACATGACAAAAATCTAAATCATTTTAATTTTCAGAAATTCTACGTTCTTATAAAGTTTCATTTGTGTACTTTATTTTAATACAATCAGTTTACATAATGAGAGAACAGGATTGCCAAGTAAAAACAACAAAATAGCAGTTCTATTATTCAAACGTGTTCGATAACTAAACATGTATCATAGTTATTCAAAATGTTCACCAAAAAGTCTACTTCATAACCTGGTTGTAGTGATAAAGCAGCTAGCTATGATGAAAGTGTTTGTTTACAGTCCATTCAATTCAAAAAGCAGAAAGGCTTTTTATCAATAATGCATCAAAAGCAACCAACATTCTGCAGCAGGAAAAACCTGTTGGGCCACCAGAAAGCCCAAACTTTGCATGATGCAATAGAATTCACAAAACAGGACTGTCAAAATAGAATGTAAAGAAAAAGGACTTTGTCAATATATATATATATATATATATATATATATATATATATATGAGAGAAAGAGAGAGCATGTGTGAAGGATTATATGTACATTTGATAGTTGAAGGTGCCTGGATATAATAACTTGTATTAGCTGTATTAATCTCTTCAAAATGAATTTAAATGGCACCTACCTATATAATATTCCTATTCTATCAGTAAAACTTATCCTTATTTTTAACCTCCGATAATTCTTTTCCTTATTTCCAATTATCAATTTAAAGACTAACAGATAAAACTTGTTGAAACAAATTTTAGGTAAAAAAAAAAAACATTGCAAAATTCAGTAATTAATCATTGAATTTTTTTCTATTACTAAAAATATTTACTTTGATAGAGCAACGTCACAGATTCCTCTTTTATTATCTGTGAATTGCAATGATTTCTTGGAAAGATGGTCTGGTTTCCTGTTACCTTCTGCAAATTTTTGAATACAGACAAGTTCTACTTTTAGACTGGCTGCCACTCAATTTGAGGATGTTATGTATTATTCTCTTTAGATAATTTGAAAGCAACTATGATGGTTGAATAAATGCATATATAATGATGCATTACATTTAAGCTAATGGATTTTTAAGAGATTTCATATGTTTTGTAATTTACGAAAATTTTGGTTAGGAAACACTTTACATGTTCTAAAATGCAACTTTAAGATGATTCAAATATTGCAAGAGAATAATGCACTAAATAAGTCAATATTTTCTTGTAATTTATTTGACACTAGCCTAGAAGCTGTCCTTTGGGCAGACTTTAGGCTAGCTCCTGCAGAGAGTTTTCAGGCCTTTGGCCTTTTATCTTCAGCATCCTATGTACATAAAAGTTATAAGATTTAGAAATAGTAAAATTATTTTATCATTATTTGATACTTTAATTCAGTATAATCTTTCTATATCTATATGCAACCAATCTCTGTAGTTGTTTCCATTTATTTTGTGTGCAACTTTTATTTTCATTTAAAATCACCATTCTTTATGATCCGTTCATATAAAGTCACTCTTAAAAGACATTAGGGAACCCAAACTATGTAATATTTTGAATACATCACAGTATGCATGCTAGAAAAAGAGAAAAAAAAACTTATGCGCAACATACTATGCCATGCTTAAGTGTTAATTACAGTTTAATTAGATGATATCAATTGCTATTGAGATGAAAAGCAAAATTAAAGTTAAAACTTTAATAAAGAATTGATTTTTTTAAATTTTTCACTTTGTTCAGCATTTAAATTTAACTTTAAATGAATTATTTATTTCATTTTTAATTGTGTGTAACTATAGTAGTTACTTACCTGTTACTTTAGGTTGTTTATGATTTGCTGAGATCAAAAAGTGGATGGACTGATACAAGTACATTGCACTTTATTTATATAAATTCTGTATCTTCATTCACATTGTAATTTGGTTCTATTTTTGTCATTTGAAATAAAACATAAAAAAAAACTGACTGAAGATGTTCTTGATTTGATCATCAATAACGTTTCTATCTGGTTTTTGGTGGGTAGAAACCTTTTAATTAAGAAAAATGAAATAAAGCCTTTAAGCCATAATTATTTTAGAAATTGATGACCCTTTTTAATGGGTTTACATTTTCAGCTGATGTCAACAGCCAGTTGGAGAGTTTCTCCGATGAGCTTGCACAAAAGACAGAGGAGAGTTCTCGTCAGAAAGAGGAGATTACAAATCTCTTATCCCAGGTAGTGGAGCTGCAGAGGAAAAATCGTGAGGCAAGTATTACCCAGCCACCCATATTTTTTTTTCCTTTTCTTACATCTTTGCATAAAAGTTTAAAGGAAACTGCTCTTATATAGAATGTAATACAAAATCTCTTCTTTGTCAACAATTTTTGGTTAGAATTGTTTAAAACTTAGTTAAATTTTGTTAAAATATGCTTTAACATAATGCAACTGTTACATATATAATTTTCAACTTTGTATGTGCTTAAATAATTTATATTGCTAAATATTTCAAAATTGTATCTAATTTTGATTTAAATTACAAGAGTTAAATCTTTTTTTTAGCTATATTTACTAATAAATTATATTTTATTGCCTCCTTCAATTGTAGTCATTTTTTAATTTTGCAGATCTCTTTTGAGAACCTTGAGTATCACAAAAAGCTTGAAGCAGCAAAAGATTCTCAGCAGAAATTAACCAAAGAGGTTAGCACTTTTACCATTCTGACAAACTTCTTCTTATACCCTTTTTTTAAATAAGTAGTATGTTCACTGTTGTGTTCTTGTAACACATTCTGCAATTCTTGGTTTACCATTTAACAAAAAAAGAAATAATTTAATTTTTCATTGCAAATTCATGGATGTGTAGTGGGTAGCAGCTTCAAATGAGTTTGTGTATATATATATATATATATATATATATATATATATATATATATATATACACATCTAGTGTTTTTTTTTTTTAATGTAAAAAGATCTTTTCATATATTTCAGCTGTGATACAGCTATTGTGCATCTTAGTTAAGTTGAATACATTCATATATTTTGCAAGAATTTGAATTACTCCATAGCCTGATAGTGCAATAAATTTTATTATCTAGTTAAATTTTGGTTAACAATATCAAATACCTTTGATTTCTAATTAAATATAAGCCTATAAGCAATGTAAAATTTGGCTTCACAGATTCAAAGTAAATTTTCAAAGTTCACCATAAAAAATGTAATCCAATAGAAAAATATTAATGTTAACAAAACAAGTTAAAATATTAACATTTTTCTTATCTTGTGATGTTTCAGTTAGCTGAATGGCAGGACCGGTATGATGAACTTATGGAATTATTTGAAGAAGTCCAAGATGAATTGCGCACTCTTCGTCGGAAACACAAGCCAAGTGCTTCTAAGCACTATATGTCATCTACATCACTGATGAGAGGTGACTCCTTAGCATCAGAATTAGAAACTTCAATGCGTAGCGAAATTGAGTATCCTCATGGTTACTCACCTGCTGAAAGAAGGCAAGAGTTACCTTTTTTATAATTTGAGTTTTGTTAAACTAGTAGACCCACTCTTTAATTAATGTTGGCCTACCAATTTAGTTCTGAAATACTTTGTATATATAATATTTAAATGTATAGCAAAAGCTAACAGGTACCTTAACAGAAAAAGCAAATTATTTAACTCCTACTTACAGAAAATATATGACCCAATCTTCAATACACTGGGATTATATTTATTATTTTTATATTTTAATATTTTTAAAATTGTTTCCTATTTATGCAAATACTTCTAGGTATTTACCATTATTAGTTACTAAGCAAATTTTCTCTCTTAGTATAATGCAGGCATTTTGTACAGAAATTGATACTATTGCTTATTATATTATAGTAGACATACCAAACACTTCTCAGGGGAAAACAACTTCAAATATAACTCAGGAAAAATGATGTTCTTTAACATATTTCTAGTTATACAGCATAAAAAAAGAATTTACACAAAAAAACTAGTTGTAACTGAATAATATTCTGATCCGCATCCAAAACAAATGATGTAATCCCTTAAGTTGGCATCGCTTTGACGGTACACATTCTGTCCAATATTTGTAACAATTTTATAAATTTTTTTTTTTTTCTTAATTCATATTGATATTTCACTAATTAACCAATAAATTTCAATTAGCAGAAAAACAAAGTAAAAGTTTTTTTTTTTTTTTTTTTTTTTTTAAAGTAGAGGATGTGGAAATTAGTTTTTGACGCTGCTGAATATATTTGCTTGCTTATGTCTGTCAAAGTGTCAGATATTTAGGGGTTTAGTCCAAGCTTACCAATCTTAGTTTGTTGACATTAGAGAATAAAATAAGAAATGAAAGAATTTAAAAAAAAACGAAAAAGTGTATTTTGAAATTTTTAATATTTTTTTTAGTGTGTAAAATATGTTTAATATTTGGATTAGATAAATATGTCATTTGTCAAGTTAAAAATGCAATTCAGCAAATCAAGATTTTTTTTCTATTTTAGTTAAAAATTAAATAATCATATTTGTTTTTTTATTTCTTTTAATGCATGATATTTGTAGCTCATCACTTCTGTAATTTAACACTGAATTTAAGAATTTGTTTAGAAATTTGTTTTTGTTTTTTTTTCTTTTCTGTGACTTTTTATAATTATCAAATACATATACAAAATACTCCAATATAGGATCCTGAGAATCAGTGAAAATCAACTTCATGATTTTATTTTTCCATTTTCATTGTTAGAATTCATAATTGGAAAATATTTGAAACTGCTCGAGCTGCTAAAAAAGCAACACAAAAAATGAAAGAACGACGTAGCAGCTCACTTTTACTGAAGGTGCCAAGTGGTGAAAGTAGTACAGAGTCTGCATCTACATCTGTGAGAAGTTCACTGTATCTCTCTGATGGAGAATCATTTGCTAGTGATGGTTACAATGCTGATCTTGAAAGTGTTTGTGGGTAAGCAAATTACTCTTTATCCAATCATGACCAGAGATCTCATAAAATTACTTCAATGAAACCAATACCTGTATATTGAATTATAGTTTATTACTTGTGCTTCACAATTAAAGACAACCACTGACAACATCTTGAACATAATAACTACATTGTGTGTACTTGGTTAAGTCATATATGTATATAAAAAGAAATGATGACTTCTTTGCTTAACATGATTAAGTCAATTTTTTTTCTGTTGTTGATGAACTTGCTGGATGACATATTCTTATGATGAGTTTTTTTTCTTTCTTTTTTTTTTCTGTTAGTTACGGCAAGAGACTCTCTTGTTAATAATTTGTGATTCAATACCTGCTTTTGTAAACTTAATAATGTTACAATGTCCAAAAGAAATAACCAAGAAATTCTCTTAGAAACCAGCTGAAATAATTTACTTGATCAGTTTAAAATGAAATGGGTTGATGAATGAAAAATAAAGAAAGAAATGTTAAATCAAATCTTTTAGCATCTGTGAATTTATATGATTTAGCAATAGCAGATCATTGGAATACTTTAAAAAAAAACAAAAAAAACTGAAACATTTTTTTATGTCTTCATTATATACCTTATTTGGACCTGAAAAAATACTTGGTCTGTATTGATAAATTTAGTGGTGTTAGAAAGTAAATCAAGTAATTTTTACAACTGTCAACAACTTAAACCCAAAAGACACAAAAACAATACCAGGTCCCTCATATTATATGTTGAGCCCATTTATACTAAGAGCACTATTATAAAAAATCTATTGAATATACATTTTAACTGTTGCCAAGAAAAATTGATAATATTATGTTTTTGTCTCCTGTATTAAATAAGAATAATCAGCTTTCTATTTTGATAAAACCATTTTGGATTGTGCAGTTTCTTATTTTGTTAAATCTTTTCTTATTTTTTTTTTTTTGTAATTAGCATTCTATCAAAGTATTTTATGTTTTCAGATAAAATAATTCATTTCCTTAAATCTGTATTCTATCTAAAGTTTGATATTATCAACTTTAATTTAGATATTATTAAAATCTAAAAATTCTCACTTGATTGCAGACATGAACTTGTCTTTCTGAGAATTCAGTCTTTGGTCCAATTTTTTGACTATTATGGATATAGATTAAAATATTTGCCATAACTTGAGAACAGAAAATAAAGAAATAATTTAATAAGAAATATTTTTGTCAGTAATAAAAATAAATGAAACATGAATATTTTGAAGGATTATCTACATAATCAGCATATTTTTAATTAATGATTTTCATTATTTCCAAATATATTTTGGAACTTGTTTTTTATTCTATATAGTTTTTTTTTTACCCAGGCTTATGATTTTTGGTTCAATTTAAATTTTAAAATAATATCCTGTTTTGTTTTGTGAGTATTTAGTCTGTGTGTGTGTTATTTTTTTTTTAATTTTTTATATATTTATACAACTTTTCTACTGTAATTGTGCTCCTCATTGTTTTTAAGCTGGTTGGCTGTCAGGGTCCCCAGGTAATTGTTTATGATTAGTGTTTGTTTTTCTGATTTTGCATTGTTAGAATAGATTTTATAGAGTTTGAGAATTTGCAGTTGTGTGTTACGATCAATTAGGTGATCAAAATGGCAAAAATAATCCTTAGATTTCTTTCAGTTTGAAACAAAACCACCTCGATTGACTAGAAAAAAGAAAACTGAATCCTTTTATCTTGTTAGTCTGAAGCAAACAGTTTTCACAATTCTTTTTAATTGGAGAATTATGTTTCTTGTTAGCCAGAAGGGAACTGGAATTAAGCTTTTCAATATTTTCATGAATTCATTTGAAATTTATACATTTTTGTCTTATTAAACAATTTTGATTTACTACTAAAAACTGATGTGAATGATTTATCATTTTTCCTTTTCATTCACATAGCAACATTTCATTATTGACATTTCCAAAACATTCACTATTCTCTGATTTCTTGTTTATTAATAAACTTTGTTTTTTTATGTGAGCCTATTAATATTACTTGAATAAATATCATTGACTAAATATTTACTATTAAGTTTCAAAATGATGTGGATTGTTACAGCCTGCAATATCCACTTTACACATTTTGTGACTATTACCATAAAGATAAGTCTTAGCTGTTTATTTAAAATTATGTAATTATTTGATAATTGCTTTCTCTTATGACAATTACTAAATATTATTTTAAATATAATTTTCTCTCATAATATGATCAGTTTAAAAATGAAAAAGAAAAAGTCTTTGTATTAGTTCTCTGTAAGAAAAATGTATCCTTGATTATTTTATAAAAATAGACAAGGTTTTTGCTAAAAAAATGTTTGCACAAGTTCTTAAAATGATCTCCTGTTTGGTTTTAGTTTTTTTTTTTTTTTTTTTTAAGTTTGGTTATCTTAGTGAAACTACAAATCAATTTTAGATTATGCTTGAAAACTCAGAACTTTCACTTTAAATTGGAAAACTTTTAGTTGTCAGTTTTTCTCTTTTTTTCTTTTTAAAACTAAATCAATTACAGTAAATATATGAGAGGCTTTTTTGTTATTGTTCTTTTAATCAGGAAAATGTCATTATTTGTATGAAGTTAGGCATAACTTGTTAATTGATAGTCTTTCATTATAGCTATCAGAATTTTATGTTTTTTATTTTTTGCTAAATTTACTCATTGAAAATAAATTCAATGATGGAAGGAATGATCTTGCAAAATAATATTTTTCCGTTTTTGAAAATTGAATCATTTTCCTATCTTTAATGTAAATCTTTTTTAAAAGTTACATTTTTGATTTTCTCATATTTATTTATTTACACTTCCTTTTACCTTTTTTTTTTTTTTTTTTTTTTCATTGTAAAAAAAAAAAAATTAGGTAGTTAAAAAAAAAGATTTAAATCCACTATTCACAGCCATAAACTCCAATGCTATATCCAAATGGAATGGGGGAAAATAAATTTATTTGGTATTGCACTTAATGAATAGACAACTTTATTTGCTTTTGATTACATTTATCTACAGATTTATTTAAAATTAATGTCTATTATAAAATAAGAAAAATGAACATTATTATATTCAGTTGGGTGAATGGGACACACACACACACAGAGATATTTTTTAAAAATAAAAGTTCATATATATATATATATATATATATATATATATATATATATATATATATATATATATATATATGTGTGTATAAAATACTTACTGGTAATTAGTATTTTATTAAGTAAGGAAAAAAGGTGTGATTGACTTAGTGAATATTTTGATGTTTGTTTACATAATCTTCAGAACATTTTAACGAAAAGTTGCATATCTATAGCATTAAATACAATTGGGTAATTTAATAGTAATGAAAAAGAGACAGAAATATAAAAAAATGAAAACAAAAGCAATAATGATGATGATGCAGGGAGTTGCTGAGCAGAGCTAAATTTGCAAACAATATTTAAATCTTGACAATTCCCAAATTTCTGTAAAAATAGTTGATGAAATTTGTTGTCATTTTATCCATTATTGAAATTATTTTAATTTTTGTTTTTACTAATTTTTATTTTTCTTCATTGTGTTTTTTTTTCTTTTACTCATTAAACTAAAATTGCTTTGATAACTTAATTTTCCCAATTTTAATATTTCAAGGCTGCTAATTAGAATTTAGCCCCAGTTCTTTTACAATTTCTAAATTAAGGCAATATGTACACTTTTCACATTGATATGTTATGAAGCTTAACATTACCAACATCTTTTTTTCCAAAATTTATATAGTTTATTTGTATTTTGCATACTTTGACAAAAAGTGTACATAAAATGAATGCAGTAGATTTATATAGTGAGAGAAAGTTTCATAGATATTTCTAGAATCTTTTGTTTATTGATTTCAATATAATTCATGCCATCCACTTCAGTTATGATTTTGTTTGATGGGTTAATATTTACAGTGAGGAATGTGAAATTAATGAACATATGAGAGATGAAGCAATGGAAGAAATTAAATGGATTCAGTATTTACTTTGCAACCTGTAGTTTCATTTTATATATCATAAACCTGGGAAAAAGCATGAATTCAAAATTCTGTCAGTTATGATGTCTCATACTTGGCTTAGCATAAAGAGTCATGAGAAAGGTAGCCATCCTGAAAAAACCTAATTTTAATCCAAATCTGTTAATGAATATTACTTTATCATATAATATCATATTTGTTAGTGAATATCAATCCACTAAGAGTTAAAATGAATTTGAAGTATGTTTTTGCTTCTAAGGTTGAGAAAATAAAATTGCAATCTTGTTTGTTCCACCTGTATTGTAACGATCCCATTTTTGTTTGTGAATGTGTTACCATAACACAGCAAAATGGCACATCATAGCAGTGTTTTTGTTAAGGTGATATTGTTAGAATTGAAGAATAAAAACTATTTCTAAAACAATTTGTAGCTTAATAAGTTTGGAGGTTTTCATTTGTGCTCACTCTGATAATAATGATCCAATTTTTTGTTTGTGTTGCAAAAACTGAAAAGAAAATTTCATATCAACATTGAAAGAGGAAAATAAATCAAAAGATTACTAAATGCTGCATAAATTAATGATGCCCCCCACACACACACACTATATATATATATATATATATATATATATATATATATATATATATATGCACACACCTTTTTCTATCTATTTTATATTTTACTTTTTACAAACAAAATGTATTATTTCACAGAAAAATTAATAATCTTTTCAATTTTTTTTTCCTCTTCCAATATAAATCCTGTTGGATAAGTATCAGTAGGAGTACAAATATAACTTTTAAATTTACTCAGTTTGAGTTTGGCTAATTACAAAGTAATCCATCATTATTTATTTCTAAATAATTATGATATAAATTTTATAAATAAGAACAGAATTCATCCAACATAAGGGCCATGTTCAGCAATGAAAAAAGGAAAAAGAAAATTTCTCTTGCAGCCTTGAATTATAAGTTTTTGGTTTTTATCATGAATTGATATTTTTGTTTTCTGCTTCCCACTTTTCTGCCGCATGTGTATTTTTGATGAACAAGTTGTTTTTCTTCCCAACCCTCAGCAGTTCCAATTCCAACCAGCTTGGTCGCCCTGGAATTCCTGGTTCCAATGATTTAGAAACAGCTCTTCGCCGTTTATTAGTAAAACGTAATTGGGGATTACCAGACAAAGACGGCAAGACTGTTCCTGGATCTACTAAACATGCAGAACTACTGCAAAGGAGCATTATGGAACAAAGTTTCAGGTTGGCACTTTCCTCCAACACGCATCCCTTAACAAATTCTTATCCTTATTAATTTTCCTTGTTTTTGTTCTTTTACTCTTTTTGTTTTCCTTTCAAATCTTTCATCTGTAGTGTTTATGAAGTGAGATAATTTGTATTAGAACTTATTTCTGATTTAAGTCCACTGAATCCTTATAGATGGGGGATCATACTCAAACAGTTATTCATAGATAATTAAGATTAGTAATATGAGTATTGATAAAGTATTGTGAATTACAATTTTACTACTGCAAATGTAGTAAAATTATGATGAAACTATTTTACTTTATGGTTTTTTCTGAAATATCATCATATAATGAAATTCAGCCATGTTGAAACTATTATATAATGCTAAATAATAAGAGACAAATTCAAAACTCTCAAATTTAGTGCATCTCGAAGTTCATTATAAACAGGAGTGTGGTTCTTTGGGTTAGGATGTTACTGTCAAAACAAAGATTTGACCTTGGAGTTTAAGACATGGCACTGATGTCACTCAAATGCAGACAACATGAGTAACTGCTATTATTTTTGAGACAGTTAAGTTCATCATCATATCTCTCTCAGAGGTGTGTGTGTGTGTGTGTATATATATATATATATATATATATATATATATCTTCATGACCTGAAGATTGCATTCAAACATGAAACAGAATGTCACTGCTTGGTGTTGACCTCAGTGTGCACTTTTATATTTACATACACTCTATATCAGATGTTTGAACACTTTTACCCATAAATACAGCATACCGTAAAACTATATTTTTATCATATATATATTGTTATTCCTTTGGCTCATCTATTAGTAAGCTTATTGTTATAAAAGAAGAGTCAAAAAAATATTTGTGGTATGCTTGCCGAATTTAATTTAATTTATAAAGATAAAAGTGAATCTTTAAAACTGACTTTGTTACATAAAAAGCACAAATATCCATATGCTAAAATATACTTAAAACATGGAAGTCAGTATATTAATGTTATGTAAAATGAGTTGTATCGTTGAATAAATTTATTTAGAATTTGTTCACCTATTCATTTGATTATATGTAATTACACATATCTATGATGTAATCAAATGACAGATATAAAAATTAACTTAACTAATTTTGAACTACATTGTAATATTCTTGATCACATTGTAATCATTGAAATTTGCAGCAAGATATATTTATATAAAACATAAGAATTTAATTTCTTCCCCTGTCATAAATATGTATTTAGTGAACAAAATTTACTGGAGTTTTTTGTTTTCTTTTTTAAATAAAATTTTACAATTTTCTCCAAAAAATCAAAAGGCTAAGAAACTAATTTTTGTTTTGTGCTGACAGGTTAAAAAAAGAAAAAAAATCTCTTGTTTCTGGGACAACTTTATGGATGAAAGTAACTTTTAAAATATACCTTTGCGTAAACAATATTTGATCAAAAAACAAAAATTGTTTACTTTTATTGATATTCTTTCAGTTGAAATATCCTTAACTCAAACACTCATTCTTGTTTTCTAGTCAAAGTATTAATTACTTAAAAGCATTAATTATGTCTCTTATGAAGGTGATTTTGATATCAATTTGATATAAAATACAGAAACATTGCTTTTGATTAGATTTAAGATAACAATGTTGTTTATGCTTTTTGTATAATTCTGTTTCAGCAGTAAACACATTCTCTTGTTTATATTTATAATAATTTTTGTGTTATTTCAACAAAGCAAACCCTATCATTACAGAGACATTTACTTTCTAACATTTTTTTTGTTTATTTTAGGATTCATTTTTAGGTGAAATATATAAAAATGACAAGCAAATGTGAAACTTAAAAGTAAAAATTTAACTTTTGATGTTCTACAAATTTATAAATAATGATAATAATAATAAACTATATGTAATCTTAATATATATATTTTTACATTGTGGTTCTTTGATTTACTCTGGGGAAAAAAAAGAGGACTTCATTTCAGGTATAATGAAAACAATAAGCATAATCTTTATTACTAATCTTGAATAAATAATTGTTTACAGACTTTGATGCTAACACTATGTCCTAAAATAAATCTTAGTTTTGTATGACTGTTTTTACCCATTATAAGTTGTTGGGCAAAAATGTTTACATCATATTGCTATTGTCAAGTCATAGTTTTAATTCTTTAAAGATTTTCAGAAAAATCATCTTTGCTAGCCATTTTCTAAAATGTAGTACCTATTTCATTTTAGTTCAATACAGTACATAGCAGCTTTTAACATTGTTTTAGCATCATGAAATCATCAACTTAAATGGAATTTTTTTTTTGTCTGTTAGCAGTAAAATGTTTCAGTAAGTCTATATGGTACTATTTAGCATATATTTAATAAAGAGTATATTTTCATGTTACAGGAATTAAAATAACAATAATACAATTATGGTTTTAATATCTGAAAATTTACTCAGTGGGCTTGTAGAAATATTTACAAATGAAAATGATTTTTTTAGTTTTGTTGGGGTTTAGTATTTTCCATGGCATGTTTTATACAAACTATTTTTAATAAAGTTATTGTATATTTAATAATATAAAAAAGATATTAATGTGTTCAACTTCTCTCTTTTTGGTTCACTTCTAGTGAGGGTTTAAGTACCCCAATGTTTTGTCCCACTCCTGAAAGCATGGTGTCTTCAGATAGTATTATGTCTGGTCTATCAGTAAGTGGAAGTGCAAGTGTTCACTTTAAGATCCCAGAAAAGCTTCAGATTGTCAAACCAATGGAGGGTAAGTGAATTAGTTTGATTCTTTGTTTACATTTCTTTCTCAATTTATTAAAAAAGTTATTAAAAATAAAAGTCAAATAGAAAATTATAAAACTGATTTTTAAAAAAAAAATGAGGTAGGTCAAAATTTGATTTGTATGCAGATGTAAAAAAAATAAGAAACCTCTGTTTAGCTTAAAGGTTTGTCATGAAAAAAAAAGTTTTGTTGAAAGTTTGCTGCTTCTAAAATGAATTGTTCATCTTCCTGATCTGACACCAGAAATTTGAATGAAAATATTTCAATGTACAGTTAATATTTTGTTGGCCAATTTTTTCAGTTAATATTTGTTTTCAATTTTAGTGCAAAGTAACAGTTTCTTAGTAACAAATTTGCTAGCAATAATTATGGAAATTAACATATTATTTCAATACAAAGAGTGAAATCACAGCACATATATAAAAAGGTATTAATATTGCTAGAAAAGCTATTGTGATTATAGCTTCACTGCTCATAGAATCACTTTATTTTCTGTCCTGTTATAACAAGACTGTGGATGGTCCTGAGTATGACGATAAACTACATTTGGCAACAAGGTCTCTGATCTCTGTGAGATTCGCGGTTTTGAGAAGTGTGGAATATAAAAAATATAAAAAAGAATATTATCAACAATACCTATTTATATTATATATTTAGTTGAAGCCATAAAATTGTGTTCAGAATATTTAAATTTTGGCATTAAATAAGCCATTGTGGTTGATATGACATTAAACAAAATCAACCAACCAACCAAGACTATGGCAAATATGCTTGGAGATTTGACAATACAGGAAATGTATATAGATTTTGCATCTTTCTATGGATTAGTAGAATTACTCTTATTAAGAATAGACCTTCTACATGATCAGATTTATTTTCAAATGATTTTTGTCTTCTGCAGGTTCAGTAACCCTTCGACATTGGCAGCAACTTGCCCAGCCACACATAGGTGGCATTTTTGAGTCACGACCTGGAGTTCAGATAAAAGGAGAAAAGAAAATTGATATTGAAGAAGAAGTTTATAATCTTAGTGATTATGAAGAGGATGGTAAGGACCATATTCATACAAAATAATCCTAGCAGTTATGCTTTAAGTCTGTTTCTCTCTCTCTAACAACATGGACAAACTTCCATTCACCAACGCTTATTGTTCCTTATCCAAATTTACGTCTGTCCTGTTAGTCTAGGATTATACCATTAATTAATATTACAGTTCAAAAATATTAGGAATCAAACTTGGGTACCTCACTTAGTATAATGGTTAACAATCATTACTACTGAGTAGTAATTACAATCATCATTAGGGGCTCTATACTTGTGGCCTTGTACCAAAATTAAGCTGTGTTCAGTAAATGATTATTTGGTATTTGAGTATAATGCAACCAATTTCACTCAATAGGGTTGAACACCTAACAATGAAAATTATCACCTTACCTTGACTATTTCTTACCAAAATAGTAGTTTGTATATAATAGTTACTTATTTGATGTGTATGTATATAGTTTTAATAAAAAGCTGAATTGCAGACAATTAAAAATTCAGATGAATGAATGATGGCATTTTTTAATTTTGCAGTTATGTTTTCATATCCTGCTGTGGTAACAAAAAATGACCATGACTGAAATTAAGTAGAGGAGCCTTGAAAGACAATGTAGTGTAGAGAAAAGTAGTGAATAATGCAGTGTATTAAAAGTTAAGGATTAATTTCACATCTTGACCAACCTTGGAAAGCAATCCATGTCTCTGTTTGTAAAAAGTCAAAGCTTTTGTATCTGGTCATAAAAGACCATGGTAGATGTTTTTGTTAATAACATTTAGAATAAGTATATCTAGACATATAATGAGGTGGTATTATTTTCTCTCTTTCTCTGAGGCCATCCACCTGAATTGGGTGTGAAAAACCTGATTTCAAATCCATAGATCTCTACATTATATAGTTTTTCGGTACTTATATAGTCAATTAATGGAATCCCAAGAAGAAAGTCTGTTTTCTTTATTTCATCTTTGAATTCCGTTTTTGATTTGTCATGCTCCATCTATTATGAATTCAAAACAAGAGAAAATAATGTTAATAAAATAAATTTAATAAAGAAAATTCTAAATTCTTTTCATTTTATTTCACATAAAATACTATATAAAAAATGTTTCTAATAACACTTGAAGATATTATCCTATTCATTTTTATGTACCAAGTCCTTTCAGACAATCATATTGAATAACCGTAACCATTAAACTGAAAAGTTATTAACCTTTAATATTTGATTAATTTTGTTTGTTTTTCTTTAAATAGGTGGTATGAAATTATTTCCCATGATTCCTTTGGATAAGTTTTCTTTTTATATATATTTGCCCTTTTTTATTCTGTTTTCTGAATTACTTTTGTTTTGAATTGATTGGCAGATGGAAACTAAGCAACTTATTTCATCTAAGACAGGTTTTGTATATATATATATATATATATATTGTATATACATATATTACTTATCTATTAATAACTCAGATTCTTTCACAAGCATTAAAAAATAGTGTAATAAGTAGAATCTATTATGCATGGCTTGTAGTGTTTCTACCTAAATTCTAACTTAGCTGTAAGTGCAAATAGTCTCCCCCGCTTGAATAGCTTCTGACATGCTCTTTCTTAGATTCAGTTTGATTAGTTATTTCATAAGAGGATGCAGATAAATAGAACTTCTAGATTTATAAGACATATCAAAAGAACTATCTTAACTGTAGTAACATGATCACTTCATGTGAATACAAGAAAATTGTATCTAAAATAATTAGGCCTAAAAATATTCATAAAGACATATAAGCAATGCCTATGCATTTTAATCTAAATTTATTCTATACATTTAATACAAGAGTGATGATATTCTGACTACAATTTATTAAAGCTGCAATTAGTTTATCTGTTGTTAAAATGAGTGAAATGATCTGTTTTAATTTACACTTTAAATAACTTGTTAATTATTTCTACTTCATCAATTGTCAAGATAAAGTATTTAATGTCTTGTCTATAATGACTTGTTCAGATGGATTATAAATTGACAGTACCCTAATCACATATGGACATATTTCTGCTTGAAATTACAAATGAAATAAAAAAATTATGCAAACAAATTAACAACAAAATAGGCAAAACTTCTTAATGTTGTTCTCTAACATATTTTGATTAGTAAAATCTCTTATTTCTCATTTAATTTTTTTTTCTTTTTCAAACATTTGTTTACATTGTTCTTGTCTGAATTTTGTTAACCTGCTTTAATTATTGTGTCTGGTCTTGTTGAAATTTCATCTTTTGTTTTTTCACAATGTTCTGCCCATGTACCCTTCAGTTTTCTTTAGGTGTTGTGTTCTGCAATGTTGTTAAATTCCTCTCTTTCATACACACCATATCTGTTGCCTCTCTGTGTTTCTCGGATTGCTTTTCCCAACCTTGGTGTGCTGACTTTTAAAGCTTCCTGTGGCAACATTAATCAAGAGGGAATACATGGTCTGAGAGATATCCAAAGTTGGGGAAGTCACATGACTAACACTAGGCTTTGTAAAAGACATTTCCAAAACAGATACAAATATTGAATATGACATGTATGAGGAAATGGAAATGTACATGCTTCCCATAGAACAAGATTCAACTACAACATTCCAGAACACAAGACACCTGACAAAGGTCAGAGAGAACATGGATGAAACAAAATACACAATGAGAAAATCAGTCCAAAAAAGACCATGTACAATGAATTAATTTAAATCATTCTGTGTAATGAATAAAAATAGATAATATATATATATATATATATATATATATATATATATATATACAGATAGGTTTGTAACTCATTACTGGGTTGATATCAATATCAAAGAGGCTAGCCATTATTTAATCGTGTCTATGTATGATGTCTACATTTGATTTCTGTTGGGTTGTGCCAGAATGTATTTACTTTGCAAGTTTATAGATCTAATTATTTTAATGCTTACCATATCCATATTACATTGTTTTGTCTACTTGTGAGTATTTCTATCAAAATAAACCATTTAGAACTTTTAATTAACCATATATAATTAAGAGTGACTGGTATAGTAGTGTAATAGGTAATAGTAGAGATAATTATTAATCTTATTGGGTGATGCTCAAAATAATTTACTTGCTGAAGAAATAATAGAAATAGTTGTTTAGGTTATGTAATCCTATTTGGGGTATTTAAGTTTCCGCATGTATTGTGGTCATTTCCATTTTTTCTTCTCTTGCTTTTATCTTCCTGTAGTAGTTTGTAATCTTAACAGCATTCTACTTTATTTTAATCAAAATAATAAGACAAAAATTTATAGATTTAAAAAAAAAAAAGTGTCAAGTACAAGATTCACCTCAGTTTACTGAAAACCAAACAATTTGGAAGATAATCAAAACTTTGATTGGTTTGGACATTATTATTTTTAACTTTCAAAAACAGTTTTATTCTTAACATTAAAAAACTTTGCTGAGATGAACAGTGGGGAGATAACTTTAATTTGAAGTTCAATTCAGAGAATATTTTGTTTCTCCTAATAAATTTTAATCTAAATTAAAGTCACATATTTGAATGTTTAACTGATCTTTATAAATAATTTAAACAAAAAACAAATTAAATTATGCAAATTGTATAAAACTTAATGAAAGTAATATGCCACCTTATTAATTTGTATCGTCTCATTTTAATGGACCTCTCCTTATGTAGACTAGTAAATTTTATGTTGTATTGTTATTAGTTCATCTCTATCTCTTCCTCTGTTTGCTGTTAGTATAGAATGAATTCTTTTCTTAAATTCTCTCTTTCTCTTCAATAATGATGATTTTTAACTTTTACATGTGCAAATCGTTTAAAATCTAACTTACAAATGTACAACAAATCCTTTTAATTGTGAATTTCTACATTTTTCTATCAATAGATGGAAGCATTCTTTAACAGGAGTTTCAATGAAGTTGAATCTGAATCAGTGAAGTTCTTTAATATGAAAGCAGCAACAGAGACAACTGAAAACACCCCTAAAACATTTGTTTTACATGTTAGATATACACTGGCTTCAATATCTGTGGAATTAAGACATAACATGCATTTTTATAAAAAGGATTAAAAAAAAGAATTACTTTTTATTAAGTTTGGTTTTAGTTCAAATTGTAAATTTTAAGTTTGTTAAAAGTAGTCTGTTTATATTTAGAAATACTGGCTAGGTGGTGCAGATAAAAAATGAATTGGTTTATATAAAATATTGTCTCCAATACATTTATTTTTCCCCCATTGCAGATGATTACCAATCGTGCCCAAGCAAAAGATTCCCTGAGAGTTCGACAATTTACACCTACACTGACTCAACCGTGATGCATCCATCAGCTCAGCATTATAGCCTAGTGAAGGAACCCTCAGATCAATCAAACTCTATGTAAGTTGATGAATCAATGCCCTTTTCTCTTTCTACTGTATTTGCTTTATAAATTTAAAGGCTTAATTCTTTGTCCTAATATAATTGAAATGACAAATATTTTATGTTCAACATGATTTAATGAAAACATTATATGGTAGCATTTTTAATCAAAAACTATTTTCTCTTAATGGGTTATGTCATTCCATATAGACACTCTGAATTTGGAAATAAGGATGCCTTATTTTGAGGATTAACTTATCCAGCAAATATCAGTGGAAACATGAATCAACATCTCAGAATTATAACTTTCAGTATATGTTTTTATATACAGTAAATGTTTTGTTTATTTTAAAACTTCATAAAATGATTGTTGTCCCCATCTTGAGTCAACAGTTATTGAAAAAGCACCCACCATTCAATCAGAACTTTGTTCTGTATAATAAATCTCAATCTTGATTCAATTTATAAATTTTCAACTAATTAAAAAATACAATGCTTATGTGTAAAAACTGCAAAAATTATATCTCATCAATTTTATATCATGAAATATGATTTATTGAGAAGGCAAAATCTTACTAAAACGATTCTGCTGAAGGATTTTTTAGAAAATAATTATTCTTGAATAAGATTATTTTACATAAAAGATTTTTTTACTGAATGAAAAAGATTTACACTTCTATTTCATTCATTTTTTTATTACTTTTTAAAAGAATTTTAAAAGGCTTAAATTGATCTAGCAGTAGTGTTATATAGGAATAAAGTGTTGCTACCAACACTAGAGTTTGAACACAGATTACCAGAGAGCAAACACAGGCAATCACATTTGAAATAGGTAGATCATGTGACCATAAAGTAAATGTATATATGGGAATTAGCATGACGTATAATTGATCACTATTTCTACTCTATCCTCTATTACTATACGGATCGATATTCTCTATACTGATCACTATTTGGTGGTTACTTCCGAATGAGTATCATCGAGTAAGTACTATTAGTGCGAATGTTATTCGAAGGCGTCTGACACCAGTATTGTTCAACAGTGTTACTATAGTTGTATCTGCAATTACAAAGTCTCTACTACAATGAGCATTACAAAAGTGACAATGAGTATTCGTTGACAATACAAAAGTGGCAACAAGTGTGTGTTGACATCACAAAATGTGGGTAGAGCAACCAAAATACAAACACATGAAAATCTTGTTGCTGTTACAAAATTTAATAATTGCATACACGAGACATTATTTAAAAAAAATACGAAAAGAAGATAAAAAATGAAAAATGAAACAAACCACTGTAGTAGCTTAATATGAAAATACAAAATGACACGAAGAGAGGAAGAGGAAACAAAATTAGGAGTTTTTTTTTTTTTTTTTTTTAGGTCCCCTCCCCCCTTTATGCTGGTGAGTGGAGATTTTCATATCGAATTTTTTTTTTAAATTTTTTTTATTTTCCCTTTTTTCTGTACACAATTATTAGACTACAAACAACAAAGATGAGAAAACTGGTTTGAATGAATCAATAGATGATAAAAGCATTTCATCTCAGAAATTCAGGCAAAAAAACATCCATTGGAATTTCATTCTTTACTTCTCCGAAAACAAAGGTTCAAATATGAAATTTTACATAGCGATATTCAGCAATCTCTTCAAAAGATTATAGAAAACTTTTCAATTTTGATTGCATAAAACTTTTATTGAAAATATTACTTCATAAAATCTTTGTTTTTTTTCTTTTAAGAAAACATCAGTAAAGTATTCCTTTTGATTGAATTTACTTTTTGTTAATTAGTTTTTAGTTTATATAGGGGGGATGTTGATTCAGTCTCTGATTCCGTTCAGCTTAATAGTTGATTATTTGATAATAATTTTCTTTTTTTAATTGTAATTCACCATTATAAATCTGTAGCAAATCATCTTGTTTGCATATTTATAAAATCTGTTGTTAAGCATATTGTATATTATCCTTTTGAAATGAGCATCATCTGTTCAATTTCTAATATCATTGTTAACTAGAAAAGAATAGATTTATTTGCAAATGATAATATATTATTCATCAAAGATAAAATGAAAATAAGCTGATTAGTAATTGTGAATGAATTGCATCTATTCTTTAGGCAATTAGAGAAATGAGCCAAAGTATATTTTCATACCCACTTATTACTTTGGTGATAAAAATGAACACTAATTACATATTATTTTAAAGAAAAGAATTATGCTTAATATCAAGTGACTTATAGACATAAATTGTTATATATTCCTTAACAATTATTATGCAACACATATCTATCACTTATTGATTATTTGAACAAAAAAAAGTTGTTTTGGATTTTTCACTGAACATCTGATTCTGTTTTTCTAAAGCACAGGTTTTAATGACTGAACTGTGATGTCAAATGAATGCAAAAATTATTTATTCTGGGGCTGTAAAGAAACAATACTACTAGATTTTAAAAAAGAAAACCTTTAAAAAAAATATTAACATAAATTTTAGTTCATTTCCTTATATCAACATACATATATGAATAAATCTATAACTTAATGAGAAAAAAATATTTATTTTTCCACATAATCTGTTTCTTTGTCAAAGTACTTAACCCAATGCTTCTATATTAATCATATAGCTTAAAGATTATACAAGGAAAATTTCAGATCAAAATTTAGCTAATAACTATGCCAAAATACAAAATTGTTGATTTACTCTTGTGTAAACACAGTTTAAAATTGTGTGTGCGCTAAGGTCTATCCAGAAAATATCTAGTTATTTCATATTAATGAAGAATAACCTAACTAAAGCAATGGTGCTTTAGTCTTTTTCAAAGTGCTCTCCTTGGAAACTTAATCTCAGTATTCCTTCTACTTTTCAGATTAGTCTGCAGTTGCCTGATCACATTCTCCTTAATCTTGTCTTTTTAACGGTGAAAGTTGTAGGGAGCCAGATCTGTACTGGCTGGGGATTCTGACATACTTAGGTGGTATGATACTTTTCTAAATTATCGTAAATTAAATTTGAAGAATGGGAAAGTGCACTAATGATAAATATTGCAGTTACACACTATAAAATCTCATTCAATTATGTTATACACTGTCAATTGTATAAATCCTATAAGAGTGTAGGTTCTGTAAGCTCCCTTCTGATTGACTCCCAAGATACATCAAGGCTGCATAATTGGTTCTCAGCATATTCAAAATAGCTAGATCTTTTCTGCATAGACCTCATGTGTGTATATACACATACACACAAAGTATAATTGATAAATATGGTCTTTCAACCTGTGAAACAAGGTTTTGACTAGATAAAGTAATAAAACTGGCAGTAGAAAGAGGTAAATTTATTTTTCTTCAAAATGACAAGTTTAATTTTTAGTAGTCACATATTTCATGCTACATGTTTATCTGAAGGTTATGTCCACCATTTTCATTCTATCCATGAAGAAAGTTTTCTGATCAACTTTTGATCAACTATTACAACAGCTCCATCTTCAGCCACTGATGAGAAATGTTGACCATTCAAAATCTCTTTGAATTTCAGAGTCTAATGGTGCCAAATCGATGCTGTACAGTGTGTGTTTGTGCAATAACTGTAAATTTCAAGTTTTACACAGTTTGCACCATTTGTTGACTACATTGCACTCTTACATTATCCTGATGCATAAAGACTTTGCCTTTTTAGGCTTTTATTCTGTGAATGCATTTTTTGAGTGCTTGCAACAATTCACAATACTGATTATCATTCCATTTGGCAGATATTTTGTGTGTGTGTCTCTCTGATTTCTGTTTCATATACAACTCCAATGTAATGCTTATGAATATAAGCAGTACCCTACATTGTAGGCTACTGCTTATACTGACCACTTCTTGTTCATTTGTCTCTGGGTGGCCACTTATGACTTTTGCTCGATGTTGTAAGTAGTGGACAATATTGGGGGTGGGAGTTGAAGTTGAGGTATTGTCTGGTGAATGTTGATTTGCAGTATACCAATGTCTTGAACCCATGCTCTGTTCGAGATGTTAGTACATCCAAGAATGCAAGTTTGTTGTCATTTTCTCTCTCTACTGTGAACTGTATTGATGATCTTATTGAATTCACATGGTCCAGTAGTAGCTGGACTTCTTTCTAGTGTAGCCAGAGTATGAAGGTGTCATCTATATATCTCAGCTATGGAGTTGGCTTTAGTGATATGGATTCTCATGCCATTTCTTCAATGTATTCCATGTATATGTTTGCCATTACTGATGATAATGACAAGCCCATTGCTAAACCTTCATCCTGTTGATATATGTCTGATCACATTCTGAAATTTGTTGTTTGTGTACAGAAAGTCGGTATTTCCATCAGGTTATCTATTGGTATACTGGTTCATTCTCGTAGGGATTAATCCGAAGCTAGTTTGTCTCTGACTACCCATAGTGTCTCCTTTGTGTGTACCTTGGCATGTCCAGGCTCACCATCTGATTGGATTGGACGGGAGCATCTTTGATTATTTCCATGAAGTAGGCAATTTTTGGATATATAAGCAGAATATGGGAACCAGTAATATGAAGTGCTAGAGAAAAGCAATAACAACAACAAAAATTGCAATATGAGATCAGGTGAAAATAGTTAACTGAGACATTAAGTTTATAAATCCCACAAAAATTCATACACTGATGTCCTCAAGAGCACATGGCCCAGTGAATAAAAGCGTTGGTTGGATTTAGTGACTTGAACATGTTGTGAGTTCAATACCTGGCTACTACAGTGGTGAAAAAAAAAACTTAGAGTGTTAAAGGGAGATAACTGAGACATCTGGAAGAGAGGCATGGCTCATGGAATTAGAACAATTGAAATTCCAATCACCCTAAGAAGGCCGACCTAAACATGAATATGGCTAAAACGTTGTGAATATGTCTGAATAATGTAAATAATTACAATACTTCATCTCAGAAATATATATATATACATACACACACACACACACACCTTTCTCCAAGTCTCTGTGATATATATATATATATATATATATATATATATATATC